CATTTCTTATCTTTAACTGATGGGAAAACAGTTTATGTAGTTCTTAGTTTATGATATATTTGTATGTTATGGTACAGTAATTAATTATCCATCGCTGCGTACTTGTACTGTGTACTTCTGGAATTACACGGATTAAAACTATTTGTATACTATCTTTTCTAATTTATTAATTTTATGTGCTAGTTTATGTTTGTTTGTTTTTTTAGAACATGATAAAATGTGAGAAAGAAAATAATTTGTATCAGTAGTAATTGACAATGTCCTGATTATAATTCAGGCTTATGCCATCTACTTGATTGCAAATGCATCTTAGCTCCTGGCAAATTAGATTTATAAATAAACACACAGTGCAATACTAAATACAGATACAACATGTTATTCCACTCATTCCCGTCTGAAAATACGATTCTGATATTTCCTCCGCCATAATGATATATCGACATATTTTATATTTATCGTTCCAGCTTTATATATATCCATAAACCTTTCACTATAGATTTTTATAATTTTAATTTTATATACAAATAAGAAATATAAAAACCGAAATAAAGTGAGTACTCCCGTATTCCCTGCTGTTGTTGTCACTTGTCAATAATCAGCTGTTGACTCGGAGCTGGCTGGGCGGTGGGCGTCTGTCTGGCTGTCAAGCTGTCAAGGGAACGGAATTCTGGCTGTCAAGGGAAGGGGATTCTGCCAGGCTCGCTAATTCTGCTTCACCGTTTCTTCCTCGCCTTTTGAGTATTAGAGCAAACTTGAAGGTTGGTTGGGAGGCGTTGAGACTGTCAAGCTGTCAAGGGCAGACCCGCTGTTTCTAAATCTGTTTCAGCTTCATTAGAAAACTCGGATTATCTTCGTAGTGGCGTAGACTGTGTGAAGAACGTTTGTGCGTGTGTATTACTGCCATTATTGTTAAATTTGACATATTCGTCTGTATATGTGCTAATTTCTCCCCCTTTTGATCTTTTACTCTCTCAGTCTCAGTCGGGTTCAGAGGTAGGGGGTGTAGCGCATGTCATATGTATATAAATATGTCACATTAATATGTCATATTTATATACATATAAATGGGAGTTGGCTGTTGGAGGGCGGGGGGGGAAGGGAGGGAGGAAGGGGTCTGGTTTGTTTGCATGTATCGTGTGTTGTTGGCGTCTGTCACAGTCATGAATGGTTCATGGAAAGAATGAGTGTTTGTAGGAATCTTTACTAGCGTGGTATGTCACATAATTTTGTTTGTGGGCATTACTGTATTAGTTTGTTTTTGCATGGTATATTTAACCATGTTTATTTATGTCCATTTAATTATTAAACATAGTTGTTAATCTGTGTATTTGTTTGTGTATTGTGAAGGTGTCCATATTTAGGCCTAGATTTTATTTGAAACGTGTTGTGATGCCAGGAAATTTAGTGTAATTGTTCGTAATTAACCTGGCTGCTATGGCCTGAAAATTGCTGTTTTGTGTTCACTTTTAATGTATGGATGTACAAAGTTAGAGCAAATTGAAGATGATTTTATTGTAGAGGACAAAAAATTGCAGTTGTCAGTGCAAGAGTAAATCTGCAGACTTAAAAGATAATGCCACAAATAGAGGACAAAGATTGCAGAAAGCACCACACACATCCCAAGTCCACTCAATGTTCCAATGTCTGGCGGAGGGTTGATGGTGGGCTTTGGCAGTGTCCAAAGGGCATATCGTTAAATATATTTTATGACGTAGAGTTGGGGACTTGAGTGTTTGGCAAATGTGTCCATACTATAAAGATTTACCCTGTTTTGAATCTAGAAATAATTTGCCAGAATCAAAACTCGATCATACTCGTGGATGTTCTGGCTAGATAGAGATTGGATAAGTCCTTGTTCAGTAATGTCTAATAGTATGAATGCAATGTAGGTTTGATGACTATGGAAGGGTCTTCATTCGATCTACTCCCAGCTTGGCTATGAAACTCTCACCTTCACATTGTCAGGGAGTACTTTGGGAAATTCTTTACAGCATAGATACACTTGCCAAAGACTAAGTCTCCAACTCCATACCATAAAATTTATTTAGCAATCTAAGTTGCCATGACTGGGTGTGATCTTCCAGTCATGCATTAAGAAAATATGACAGATGATTACAAAAGTTGGAAAACTTTATGCATCCAACCACATCCATACCAAAAACTGCATGCATTAATTTTGCTAATATTAGTTTTACATAATTCAGAAATACATGCTAAAAGAGATAGTTTGAAGAAAAATGTTTTATTCAACTCATACTTGCATCATTCTTTTCTTTTACAGAATGGAATTTGCAGAATTGATTCGTATATCACGATGTGATCGTGTTATGCTTCATCGTCCCCATCACCCTGTGCTTGATGGCACTCTGTGTATCACAGGACATCATCTCATTGTATCTTCTTGTGATAAGGAGCCTCAAGAATTATGGGTAATTTAATGTCTGTGGAATTGGCTTAATTAAAAGCTAAGAAAATGTGTATTTTTTACTATATTTGCTTC